TTTTTGGTGTTTTTTCATTATTATTCAGTAATTTTTGCATATGAGTATTTTTCAATATTTTTCAGTATTTTCAACATTTATTTTTGCATATTAGTCACTACAAAATTAATTTTCATATGATTTCAGTAAAAAAAATTAAATAACTAAATAAATACCATAGTTAATAAACAATACAACTAATTTTCAATATTTTTCAATAATTTCTGGCATAGGTATTTTTTTAATAAACTTTTATTTTTTTATAATAAAATACTATCAATTGTATTTTTAATTATGTTCAGTAAATACTTTTATTAATATAAAATATATAAATTTTCAAAATTTTTAATTATTCTTAGTTTTTTAATTATGTATAGTTTTTTCAGATTTTTTTTAGATTTTTAATTAATTGTTGGTATTTTAAAACTATCAATTAATATTTTTATTAATGATTATTAAGGTCTTGGCTCATAAGTTATCTAATAATATTATTAAAACTATTAATTAATATTTTTATATTTAAATTTATTAGTTTTATTAGCATTTATTAAGTTAGATTTTTAAGTGTAATTGAAACAAATTTTTAATATTTACTAAGTTTTGTTAATATTTATTTTTAGTGAAAGTTTAGTGGATTTATAAATTAATATATTTTTTTTATTGTTTAACCTCAACCTATTTATATTATTTGAATTATATCGTGGTTTTCAAAACTGGATCAGACTAGAAAAACCGGAAACTTGTCAGGTGACCTGTTCCGTTTTACCCCAGAACCGTTATTTCGCTAAAAACTGTTGATTTGGTCAACAAATTGCTGACCCAGGTGGTCAAACCATTTGAACCGTCCAACAATTTTGTTTGTTTTTTATTTTTTTTTAAATTTTTGTTAGAATGAGTTGTCCATTCGATTCGAACGGTCAGACCATTCGACCTAGGAACCGGACCTCTGACTGGTTCATTGTTTGGTTCGATTTTAAAAACCTTGATTTATATTATTCATATTCAATTTGTTCTCTCTCTCTCTCTCTCTCTCTCTCTCTCTCTCTCTCTCCCTCTCTCTAATGTAATAATAATATGCATTAAAATAAGAGGCCTTGGAAAATCCAAAGTTCTCTCTCTCTTAAATGTCTTTTTTTAAATGTAATAACAACATGCATTAAAATAAGAGGCCTTGGAAAACCCAAAGGTCTCTCTCTAATAGTGTGCAACTTTATAATCTAATCAAGGTAAACAATAATTATTGTTTTATATATTTAAAACAAAAGAAAATAAGAAAAAATGGACAAGATAGATAAATTGCTTCTCTCAAAGGAGAGACATGCTGCTGACATGGACATACCATATATATATATATATATATATATATATAGATAGATAGATAGATAGATAGATAGATAGATAGATAGATAGATAGATAGATAGATTAGATAGATAGATAGATAAGGGAGGATTTTGTTAAGGTCAAAACACTAGGGAATTTCATAAGATTGTTAGAAAACCCAAGGATGTTTTTATAATTTTCCTTATTTTTTAAATGAAATTTAAATTGATTTTAAAATAATTAATCTGTGTTTAAACTAACATTTTTTATTAATTTTTGAAATTAGTAAAAAATTGAATTTATTTAAGTATATTAAGTTTTTACTAAATTTAAATTCCTTATGAAATTTAATTAACTATATAAATTTTTATTTTTTAGTGAAACTTAAAGTTGGTTTTAAATTAATAAAATTTAATTATTAAACTAATATTGTTAGATAATCTTGTATTAGTTTTATATCAATTTTAAATTGATATTGGTTTTTAATTTATCTTATTCCTTTTATTAATTAAATTCTTTTTATTATATTAGTAAAAACGTTTTTATCAATAACAATAATTAATAATTGCTTTTATTTTATTTAATTAACTTACTAGATTATTTTATTATATTATGATTTTTTTGCATAACAAAATCAAAGGTATGAACATTTTGACTTACGAAAAATCCCGAAATACTATCTTCATATGACAAATGGGCAGATGGAGGAATTTGGGGTTGAAATTTCATGGGTAGGTATTTTAGGTTGTTCGAAGTCTAATGGTAGTGCCTGTAGATTTAGGGATGTTAAGAGCATGAGAATTTGGGTTGTGGGTGTTTCGGCAAGAAAGCCTAGAATGGAATCTTGATTTGATACAAGGGTAACGAACAAGATGGATCTTCAATCGGATGGGTAAAATAAGAGAACTAAGGGTTGAAATTACCATATATAGGTCATGCAGAGTTAACTAGTGACTCTCATAATGGTCATATAAGATGGATCTTCTTATCTTTTTTATATGATTTTTATTATCTTCATTATCATTTTTTGATTATTTAATGGGATATAACTTCTTGTGGAAAACTAATGCCAAGGACTTTGAAAACAAGATAATTAATGAATTGATAAATTCTCTGCCATAAGAGGCTTTGGTGCCACAAGAGACTTCGATGCCATAAGGGACTTTGAAATAATTAATTAAAATTTTAAATGACTTCTTTTTTTCATGAAAGATTTTAGAATTAATATGGTTAGAAGAAAAATATTGATTTAATTACCATAAGTGACATTAATATTGCGAGGGACTTTGAGACTAATATGATTCAAATGTGAAATTAATGATTTTTAACTGAAATAATGATGATTTGTTCACCATAAGAGACTTTGGTGCCACATAGGATTTTAATGACACGAAGGACTTTGAAACCAATGCAATTGAATGAAATATTCATGATTTTTTTTTTGTTGTAAGGGACTTTAAAACTAATATAATTAAATAAAACATTAACAATTTCATTGCCGCGAGGGACTTTAGAATTAATATGGTTAAATGAACAAACATTGTTTTATATGCTACGGGGCGGGAGATTAATACAATTAATTGAAACATCAATGATTTACTCTCCACCAAGCGACTTTAGTGTCGCAAGTGACTTTGAAGTTTATGCAATTAAATGGCAGTTGATGATTATTTTCACCAAGGGACTTTATAACTTATATGATTAAATGAACCATTAACAATTTCTTCGCCACGAGAAACTTTAGAACTGATATGATTAAATGAACGAACATTGATTTTTATGTCATGTGGGCGGGAGATTGATAAAATTAACTCAGACATTAAAGATTTACTCGCCATGAGAGACTTTTGTGTCACAACTGACTTTGATTGTAGAAGGGATTTTGAAACTAATGCAATTAAATAACAGTTGATGATTTCTTTGTCGTAAGGAACTTTAGAACTGATATAATTAAAGGAAACATTAGCAATTTCTTTGCCACAAGGGACTTTAGAACTTATATGGTTAAATGAACAAATATTGATTTATATGCCATAGGGCCAGAGACTAATACAATTAATTGAAACATCAACGATTTACTATGCACAAGGGACTTTGGTGATGTAAGGGACTTTGATGCCGCAAAAGATTTTGAAACCGATGCAATTAAATGCCAGTTGATGATTTCATTGCTACAATACAATTAAATGAGAAATTAATGATTTTTATGCTAGGAGGGGAGAGATTTTAAAACTATTACAATTAAGTGAAACATTGATAATTTATTTGCCACAAGAGGCTTTGGAATTGATATGGTTAATTAAAATTTTAATGATTTTTTTCTCAGTCACGAAGGATTTTGATGTCATAAGGGACTTTGAGACTAAGATGATTAACTAAAAATAATGATTTTCTTTACCACAATGGACTTAAAAACATGACATGATTAACTAAAAAAAATCAACAATTCTTCTACCATAAAGGAATTTTAGAGGAAATTTGGAAATGATTAATCAAATGAGAAAATGCAAAATATTAATGAAGGATGTAATGTGAAATGTGAGATATTCAAAAATTGTTTAAAACCAAATACATGAAAAGGACATGCAAAAGGCCATATTAATTTAGAAAAGTAAAATAATGAATGCTTAAAAGATGGAACTCGAATTGTCCCCAATTTCTCTAAAAATCGTTGGGCACCACACATGAAGAGGTACCCCGGAAACAGTTAGCCCTTCCTCAGAATGTAGACAATAGCTAGAGAAATGAACAACCAAGCACATTAGGAGGAGGAAATCTTCCCGTTCTAGTAGCCCTTCCTCTGAATCTCAGCGAAGCACCAATAACTTTTACCTTCACACATCCTGTCTCAGAGATGCCTAAAGATGCCATAATTACTAAAATTGATTGAAATTATTTGAGAAATCGAGTATCGGGTTGAGTCGGGTCAGTTTGGTCGGTTCTTACCCTTTTCTGAACAGCCCTATAAGAGGAGTTCTTAATCAATAATTTATATCATTCTCAAAATTTTAAAATTCATCCCTAAACCATAAACATACTCATAATTAATAAACCTTTTGACCAAGTTGGTGGGTCACAAGAGATTCAGATCAAATCTGAATACGATCCATGTCCAGTATAGATTTCCAATTGAATTGGATTATATATATATATATATAGATATGAAGTTTCAACAATTGGATCAGAGTTGAATGTAAGTGGATTTGATCCAACTGCAACCCAATTAGAGCCATAAAGAAATGGCCAACGTTTATGTGTGCTATGCCAATCATTTTAATAGACATGGTATATATATTAATTTGCACTATCACTGGGGCTTTTTATTAGTTGCTGCAGCCAGTTTTGGAGTTCCAAGGGTAGGCATAGAATTTAATCCAGACTGGTTGTTGACGACTTGGTCGTTATCAGTTTGTGGTCAAATGTTCAAGTTTAGGCAATACTCCGAGATTAGGGTAGGTCTGTAAGAGAGTGCCAAATGAACGCCCCCCAACACCACCAGATGAAGAAGCCAGAAATGGCCACGAGATGACCATTATAGGAGAGAGATGGTTGAAGAGTCTGTCATGGCCCTTTCTAGACAACCCATCATTCCCTCTTCTCCTTCCATATAACACCTTGCCTTCTCTTCCATTGCAGCTTTCTTCTTATGCAGCCTTGGGCCTCTCCAAGGTTGTAGAGCGGCATCGCTGAAGCAACCAAAATGCAGGCCCTGGGCTGCCTTTTCATCCTTTTTCTCCTCCTCTTCTCCTCCCAGCCTTCCTTCTCCTTCACCCTCTCCCAAGCCGAGGCCTCCTTCATTGCTAGCCGCCAGCTCCTAGCCCTCCCTGAGAATGGTGATCTTCCCCATGATTATGAGTATGAGATTGACGTGAAGGTGACATTCGCCAATTCAAGGCTTCGCCGGGCTTACATCGCTCTCCAGGCATGGAAGAAGGCCATCTACTCCGACCCATACAACGTTACAGGCAACTGGGTTGGTCCCAATGTCTGTTCCTACAATGGTGTCTTCTGTTCAGTTGCAGCCGATGACCCCCAGGCCAGCGTCGTCGCCGGTGTTGATCTTAACAATGCCGACATAGCCGGGTTCCTTCCCCTTGAACTTGGACATATGACCGACCTTTCGCTCTTTCACGTCAACTCCAATCGCTTCTGTGGAATCGTTCCCAAGAGCTTCTCTAAGATGGAGATTCTCCACGAGTTAGACCTGAGCAACAACCGCTTCGTTGGGCCGTTCCCGGAGGTGGTGCTCTCCATTCCAAAGCTCAAGTACCTTGACATCAGATATAATGACTTTGAAGGTCCACTGCCTCCGGAGCTGTTCGATAAGGACCTGGATGCAATATTCTTGAACGACAACCGATTCGAAGACACCATCCCTGAGAATCTCGGAAACTCACCGGCTTCGGTCATTGTTTTTGCGAATAACAATCTTAGTGGGTGCATCCCCCAGAGCATTAGCAAGATGAAACACACATTGAATGAGATTATATTCTTGAACAACCACCTCAGTGGCTGCCTGCCGCCGGATATTGGGTTGCTCGAGAATGTTACAGTTTTTATTGCTGCATCCAACTCGTTTTCTGGTATCTTGCCTAAGAGCCTCTCTAGCATGAAGAGTTTGGAGCTGCTAGATGTCTCGGACAACCATTTAACAGGATTTGTTCCGGAGAATATATGTAAATTGCCTAGTTTGGGGAATTTCACCTTCTCGTATAATTACTTCAAGGGTGAGTCGCCAGCTTGTGTAACATCAAAGCAGATGGATGTTGTGTTTGATGATACAAGCAACTGCTTGCCTGATCGTCCTAAACAAAAGACAAGTAAAACTTGCATGCCGGTGGTGAACCGACCGGTGGATTGTGGAAAGTCCAAGTGTGCTGGTTCATCATCTCCATTGCCATCTAGACCAACACCTCCTGATCCCCCCCACCGTGAATCTCCAATCGTGCGAACAAGAAGTCCTCCACCACCTCCACCTGTGTACTCTCCACCACCACCAGTTTCTTCTCCCCCACCTCCACCAGTTCATTCTCCCCCACCTCCGCCTGTGTATTCTCCACCACCACCACCACCGGTGTACTCTCCTCCTCCCCCAGTCCATTCTCCACCACCACCTGTCCACTCTCCTCCTCCCCCAGTTTATCCTCCACCCCCACCTGTCCACTCTCCTCCTCCTCCCCCAGTCCATTCTCCACCACCACCTGTCCATTCTCCTCCTCCCCCAGTCCACTCTCCACCACCACCTGTCCACTCTCCTCCTCCCCCTGTCCATTCTCCTCCTCCCCCAGTCCACTCTCCTCCTCCTCCAGTCCATTCTCCACCACCACCTGTCCACTCTCCACCCCCACCCGTGTACTCCCCACCACCACCTATCTACTCTCCACCACCACCACCACCTTCTCCATCTCCTCCTCCTCCTGCACACTCACCACCTCCCCCAAGCCCCGATTTCATCCTCCCTCCACACATAGGCTTCCAGTATTCGTCGCCTCCTCCACCAATGTTCCCAGGCTATTAAGTAGTGATTCTAAAATTAAATCCCCCTCCACTATTTTTATTTCATGGCCCTACAGAATATATATACTTACGGTAGTTGCACTGTTTAACAAGAAGTAATAGCTTTCTCGAGAGGGATCACTCATCTCTATAAAAAATCAGAACGGCAATACAAGCGTCATCATGTAATTTTGAGAAATTAATAGAGATGAAGCATATACTTTTCATATTTCATATCGCAATCTCCTTTATTATTGTATTTGCATGTCTTATGGAAATTAGCCAAATAAGATTGCTTTGGAGGGTCTGTCCATTCAAATCATTTCATGCCCACCACTTATCAGCGTTTGGATTGTTTTGGGAGAAATTCTCACTCATACCAACTATATTAACTGCTAGTGTTTGATTAAAATAGGTAACTGTTCAAATGAAAAGGACAAAAGCAAAGGTATAAGTGTATAACAAACATAATGGGAGATATAACTAAATGAAAGATTTAGATTGGACTGAAAATAATCTCACCGAACTGGTTAATTTGTAGTGAGGTGTTAATATTATATTTATATTAAACTTTTACAACAGCTACAAATTTAAACTTCAAAATACAAATAATGTTAATCTGGCCAGTCAAGAATAATCGTATCTGTCAAGGCTGTTAGTTGACTGAGGTGATAAGGATTATCACAACATCTAAGACAAGTAGTCTAACATCCCCCTTCTTGACTGAGGTGATAAGGATTATCACAACTGAACTAGGTTCTAGAACGTTCCGTTTGCTTCTGTTGAAAAATAAGAGTGGTAATTTTGTAATTTTCCTTTATGTTTTGTCTTTTGTATTAAGTGGGTTGTCTTGGGAGTTAGAAGCTGAAAGGTGTAAAACTCCTTTATATTTCATGTAATCTGATATATTTTGTAATAGAGCTCAAGAAGCTAAAAAAAAAAAGTAAACCCAGAACTCTACGTGGGTTTTTCATATTCTTTCCTTCTTCTCTTCATTCTCTATATTCATCTTCTCTTCTACAGATTTTTTTTTTGCTTCTTCCTTTGATTTTTACCACCACACTTCCATTGCTCCAACAAACATTTGGTATCAAAGCAAAGCTGCATTCAACCATTCAAATCTAAAGCTAATACCTTTCATGGAATCAAGTTCCAACAGCTCAGTTCTAGATCCTTTTCAAAAATTTTCACTTCCTATTTTTGATGGAGAAAACTATGATTATTGGAGCATACTGGACTGAAGACAAGGATTACAAAGAAAATAGGAAAGATGATGCTAGAGCCCTGTACCATATTTAATGAGTAAGTAAAACAATCTTTCCAAGAATCGTGGCTGCCAAAAGCTTAAAAGAAGCATGGGATATTCTCAAGAAAGAGATTCAGGGCGCCGAAAATGTAATATCTATAAAACTTCAAACTCTTTGGAAGATTTTGATAATATTATCATGAAGGAAAGTGAATCTATTCAAGAGTTCTTTTCTAGAGTTGCTGGTATTGTAAATCAAATCAGGACATATGGAGATGTTATCTCAGATGAAAAAATTATAAAAAAAGTTTTGAGAAGTTTACCAATTAAATTTGATCATGCGGTGACTGCCATTGAAGAAGCCAATGATTTAACTAAACTATCTATGCATGAGTTAATGAGCTTACTTGAAACTCTTGAGGATAGAATGAAAAAATTTTCATCTTCTTCAGTGGAGCAAGCTTTTCGGTCCAAACTCACCATTGCAAAAAAGAAAAAGAATGATGGTGAAAAAGAAACTCCAAGAGAATGGTCACATCAAATCAAAGGAAGAGGATACCAAAATAATGGAAGAGGTAGATCATGTGGAAGAAGAAGAGGTGAAAAGCAAAATAATGGTTGTTTTATTTGCAAAGAAGACAACCATTTGCCCCAAGACTTTTTTTTTTCAGATGTAAAAGAATGCAAAAATCATGTTCATGCTCCAAAAGATTGCAAATTTAAGGAGAAAGAACAAGCCCACTATACTGAAAATGATGATTCAAAATCTATTTTACTCTTGTATAAATACCCAACAAGAGCAAAAAGAAGTTTGGTATTTGGATAGTGGCTATAATAACCACATGACGGGAAACAAAGAATATTTTCTTGAGCTGAATGAACATGTTAGTTCTCAAGTGAAGCTTGGAGATGGAAAACTCCAAAGTGTTGAAGGAAAAGGAGTTGTTGCAGTCCAAACTAAGCAAGGTAATTCTAAACTCATCTTAGATGTTCTTTATGTTCTTGGTTTGACTCAAAATTTGCGTAGTGTTGGACAACTTATACAAAAAGGTTATGAAGTGCATTTTGACAATAATGAATGTATAATAATTGATAAGAAGAAATATCAAATCATTGCTAGAGTAAAAATGGCTGCAAACAAAGTGTTTCCATTAACCATGTCCTATGATGTGAACTATGGGCTGAAGAGTGAGAAGTTGGATGAATCAATGTTATGGCACTTGAGATATGGACATTTGAATTTCAGAAGTCTCTATTTGTTAAATAACAAGAGTATGGTGATTGGACTTCCTCAAATTGATAGAGAACATAAAGTATGTGAATGTTGCGTCTATGGGAAGCATCATAGGTTACCATTTTTAGACAAATGCATTCAAAGGCATCATTGGAGCTGGTTCATGCTGACATTTGTGGTCCCATGAAGACACCTTCCTTCAACAAGAGGTACTTTTTTTTCTTTGTTGATGATTTTACTAGAATGATGTGGGTATATTTCTTAGATGCAAAATCATAAGCATTGCCTACTTTTATTCAATTCAAAGCTTTAGTTGAGAAGCAAAGTGATCACAAATTAAAAGTTTTGAGGACTGGTAGAGGAAAAAAGTTTACATGGAGAGAATTTGGGAAGTTTTGTGAAGAACAAGGCATTAAAAGAGAGTTGACAGTAAGACATACCCCACAACAAAATGGGGTAGTTGAAAGAAGAAATAGAACCATTGTAGAAATGGTAGAAAGCGTGATGCAAGGTAAAAATCTTCCCAAAAAATTCTGGGCTGAAGCAATTCATACTGTTGTTCACATATTAAATTGCTCTCCCACCAAAGCCATGCAAAATAAAACACCTTTTAAAGCATGACACAAAAAGAAGCCTATTGTTAGCTCATTTAGAGTGTTTGGCTGCATTGCTTATGCTCACATTTCCTCAAAGAAGAGAGAGAAGTTTGATGGCAAAGGTGAGAAATGTATCTTCCTTGGTTATAGTGATGAATCCAAGGGTTACAGATTGTTGAATCCAACTACAAATGAGTTGATAATTTTAAGTGATGTAATATTTGATGAAGAGGGGGCATGGAACTTTGAAGAAAATTCCCCACAAACAAAGAAATATGTTATAGAAGAGGAAGAAGTGATGCCCAATGACCATGAGCACGGTATAATTACATCAAATGCAAGGCCAACAAACTCAAGAAGATCAAGCTCAAGAAGTTTTAGCCCAAGAATGAATCCCTTAAAATGAAGAAAGGTACATTCACTTCAAGAAATCTTTAATTCTTGTGATGTTGCATTTCTTGCATTAGAACCACAGAAGTTTGAAGAAGCTTCAAAAGAAGAAGTTTGGGTGAAAGTTATGGATGAAGAAATTGAAATGATAGAGAAGAGCAAGACATGGGAGTTGGTAGATAAACCCAAAGAAAAAGAAGTGATTGGACTGAAATGGGTTTACAAAACAAAGTTCAATGAAGATGGATTAATCCAAAAGCACAAAGCAAGATTAGTGGCTAAAGGTTTTGTCCAACAGTTGAGGGTAGATTTTCATGAGACTTTTTCACCAGTTGCAAGAATGGAAACAATCAGAACTGTGCTTGAACTTGCTGCTCTCAACTAAAACTACAAGTATTTCAATTTGATGTGAAATCAACCTTCCTAAATGGAGATTCAGAAGAAGTTTATGTTGAACAACCACAAGGATATGTGATAAAAGGAAAGGAGAAGGTTTACAAGCTTCAAAAAGCTTTGTATGTCCTAAAGCAAGCACTTTGGGCATGAAATAGCAAGATTTATAAATATTTTCGTAAGAATGGATTTGAAAAAAGTCCAAATGAGCCACCACTCTATGTCAAGAAGGAAGGTATGCATGATTTTATTCTTGTTTGTCTTTATGTTGATGATTCGATTTATACAAGTAACGACCCAAAATTGTTGAACGAGTTCAAATCAGCAATGACTAAGGAATATGAGATGACTGATTTGGGGTTAATGAGATACTTTCTTGGAATTCAAGTGAAGCAAATAAAATGTAAATTTTTTATGCCCTAAGAGAAGTATGTCGATGATTTGTTAAAAAGGTTTCATATGCCAACATGTAAACCCCTAACTACTCCTATGGCTGTCATTGAAAAGTTGTCAAAGGAGGATGGAGCAGAATTGGTAGATGCATCAATCTACAGAAGCCTTGTTGGTTCCTTGATTTATTTTACTAAAACAAGGTCAGATATTGTTCTTACTGTGAGCATTGTTTTAAGATATATGAACAAGCCAAGTAAAGTTCATTTTGGATCAGCAAAGAGAATACTTAGATATGTGAAAGGAACCAAGAAATTTGAGCTTAAATATGAAAGTGAAAACTGCAAGCTGGTTGGATTTTCAGACAGTGATTGGGATGGTGCCATAGATGAACGAAAAAGCACAACTACATATGTTTTCTCTTTGGGAAGTAAAATGATCTCTTGGCCATCAAAGAAGAAAAATACTGTGGCACTTTCTTCAGCTGAAGTAGAATACATTTCAGCCACTAGTGCATCTTGTGAAGCAATTTGGCTAAAAATCTAGTTTTTCAGCTATTGCAATGACCAAAAATCTAGTTTTTCATGGAAGAACAAAGCACATTGAACCGAGACACCAGTTCATCAGAGAGTGAACTGAGAAAGGAGAGATTGAATTGAAGTTCATCAAGACTAAAGATCAAATTGCTGATATCTTCACCAAGCCCCTAGCTTCTGAAAAATTTTTGCATTTAGATCTCTAATGAAAATTACAAATTAAGAGGGGGTGTTGAAAAGTAAGAGTGGTAATTTTATAATTTTCCTTTATGATTTGTCTTTTGTATTAGGTGGATTGTCTTGGGAGTTGGAAGCTGAAAGGTCTCTACCATAAAAGTAAAACTCCTTTATATGTCTTATAATTTGATATATTTTGTAAACAGAGCTCAAGAAGTTAAAAAAAAGTAAAGCCAGAGCTCCACGTGGGCTTTTCATATTTTTCTCTTCTTCTCTTCATTCTTTATATTCCTCTTCTCTTCTAAAGATTTTTTTCTTGCTTCTTCCTTTGATTTTTACCACCACACTTCTGTTGCTCCAATAGCTTCGAAGCCATGCAAAACATTGAGAGCTTAATGATTTTGTTAAGATGTCAGCAAGTTTATCGGTTGTAGAAATATACTTGACATGAACTTGTTTGTTGGAGACTAACTCTCGAACAAAGTGAAAATTGATATAGCTGCATGCTTTTTGTGAGAGTGTAAGACTGGATTGGCATTGAGACATGTGAAACCCACATTATCACACCACACAACGGTAGGCACAGAGAGAGAAATATGAAGTTCATGAACAAGTGATTGAATGCATAATACCTCAGAACAAGCAGATGCCACACTAAGAAATTCTGATTTAGTACTTGATCTCGCCATAGTAGTTTGCTTCTTAGAGGACCAAGAGAGAATGTTAGGCCCAAGAATAACAGAGTACCCTCCTTGAGAATGATGGCCATCTAGGCACTTGGCCTAGTCTACATCAGAATATGTGTGAAATTGCTGAGAGGAAGAAGGGTGAATAAATAGACCATGATCCAAAGTAACTTTTAAATAACAGAGTATCCGTTTCACAACCACAAGATGATGTGTGGTGGGACAGCACATAAACTGGCACATCTTGTTAACAGAGAAGGCAATCTCAGGGCGAGTGATAGTGACATACCGGAGAGCACCAACCAATTGCCTGTACAAAGTGGAGTTGGGTAGAGGATCACCATATGATTTGGAGAGCCGAGTACCAAAAGACATTGGCGTGGAGACAGGCTTAGCTGACTGCGTGGAGCTCTTGTGTAGAAGATCGGTGATGTATTTTGTTTGAGAGAGATGAAGAGAAGAGCAACGAGAAGCAACCTGAATTCCCATAAAATATGAGAGGGTACCAAGATCCTTAAGCTTAAATGTAGATCCATAGAATTAATGAGAGAAGAAATGGCTTTAGAATTCAGTCTGATAGTGACTGGCTTGATTAAGGGACTCAAGGTCTGATGATAATCGATGCCTTCCCATTGAGTATAGCCTTTTGCAACAAGGTATGCTTTAAACTACTCAATGCTTCCATCAGCCTTTTTCTTAACGTGATAGTTAAAGTAAAAGAGAAGAGTTGTTTTCAAAGATTTGGTCAAATTTCACTATATCGAATGCTTGTACAAGACTGAATATATACACAAAAATAATAAAGAATAAATTGGAAACAATTACAAGAATAGAAGCAGAGAAATAAGGACAGAAGCTTTAGTAGGAAACTTCCTAAGAGGAGAGTTTCCTTTTTGCTTTGATTGATCTCTTTATAGTAAGACTCCTTTGTATAGTAGCTGGTCTCTTTTAGCAGGGAGATTAGAGCCTTCTTTAGTAGGAGATCTAGAGCTCTCTTTGGTAAGAATTCTAGAGCTCTCTTTAACAAGAAGGCTAAGAGGGGAAGAGCTAAGGTTGGTCAACTCCTCAATAGTGATACACCCCATCTAATGATGTTAGCATTGGGAGGAAGCGGTACTAAAGCCCATGTACCATTGTCAATCAAGGTAGTGAATTCCTTAGTCATAGCATGACGCCTTCTGGGATCCTAGGAGGCTTGGGTAAAGCCGGTTGGTTCAGTGTTGGGTAGGTATTTGGTGACTGAGGAGAGGGTCCAGAACAAGTTCGATCAGGTGGAGGGGGTTCAAGGGCAGGAGGTGATGGTGGTGCTGGAGGTTGAAGGGTAGTGGCTAATTAACCGGTTTAGTAGATATACAAATGTTTCAAAAGCTTCAAGCCAATAAGTAGTAGGAACAGAGCTAGCAAATAACATGATAAGGCACATGTCCACAATAGAACAATGCTGCATTCTGAAACACCATTTTGCTGCTGAGTGTGTGACATGAAAAACAATGAGAAATTCCATGCTATGAAGAAATAATGCAGTAAATTTGTGAAATTCACCTCCGCCATCTGTTTGTAATATTTTAATGCAACAACCAAGTAAATTTTCAATTATCATGAGTAGGTGGTTTAGATTTGTCTTCTCGATTCTTGTCATTATCATGAGTTTGAGAAGACAATCCAGTTGAGTGATGTTTGGAAAATTTTTCCTTGATGGCAGTATTTGCAGTAGGAGAGTCCAAATGAGGAAAAGAATGCATCCGTTCAAGTCTTATTTCATGGTTAAGTAACAGTCTTTGTAACTCATTAAAAGGGAGTGAACCATATCCCGTGTAGTAATGGCAATAGCAAACCTTTCATAATCAGGTCCAAGGCCATCAATGGCCTGAAAGAATAATTCAGATTTAGACAGAGACTGTCCAACTGCTGCAAGTTTATTAATAATAGTTTTGAATTTAAGGAGACATGCACTCATAGTTAGATTACCTTCTGCAGATTTCTCAACTCATTTCGAAGTTTATCCAGAGTTCTCGAGTGGTACGCTGCAGCCTACGACTTGAGCCATTACGGATTCAATGAGAGATGATAAAATCCAACTGAAGAGCAGTTGGTCCTGGACTTCCCAAGAATCATATTCTGGGTTTGGAATTGATGCAGAAGAGGCCGAGCTTCGATCATCATTTGTTGTGGTTAGAAATTTAGCCGGCCTGTTGACGGTATGATCCATAAACATATCCCATCAGCTTTCTCCCTTTCAGAACTGATGGAAATTGTGAATGCCATACCAAGTAATTCGTTCCATCGAGTTTCATTGCTATAACAGGTGCAAAGTTGAGGCCGAAGGGTACAGAGAGGCAAAGTTGTTTGAGCGAGTTTGAGTTTTGGGTCTGGAATTAATGAGGTCGACATGAAGAAGGAGAGAGATAGGATCGAGATCAGCAGATATTCAGAGTCCCAAGCTTTGATACCTTGAAACATTAATTTAGATTGGACTGAAAATAATATCACCGAATCGATTTGTGGTAAGATGATAATATTATATTTATAATAATCAAACTTTTACAACAGTATGATAATACAAATTTTAACTAATGTTAATCTGGTCGGTCAAGACTGTTAGTTGAGTACTTGACTGAGGAGATAAGGATTATCACAGAATCTGAGATAAGTCTAACACTGAAAACAAGATAAAATGAGAATCCTTGTTGTCAGGAGTTTGCCATGCAACCACCATGCACGTCATCCTTGTTATTAGCACCCCCTCAAGGTGAGTGAGGACTGAGAGGATGCATGCAACGTTTAGCTTTTTATAGAGCCAAGAAAACCAAGGTTAAGCTAGCCAAGGGCTTTGTCATGATATCAGCTGATCTCAAGAGGAAACTCTATCTCTCTCTAGCTTATAATCAAGTCATTTTTTTTTTCCATTTAGCAGCAGCTCCTCCTCTCTTACTAATCAATCCCATCCAAACATAGAAAAATAATTGTTGCATGTGAAGACCCACAAATTTTCACTCTTCCTCTTCTTATATTTATATTATTTTTTACTTGACTTACACAAGAGTCTTCATCAGTTGGTGTTGAATAGATCTGTTCATGAGCTGCATTGCGTCGGGCTTTGCCTTTTTGTTAACAGAAAATGTCTAGGCCTGAGTTTGAGCCCAACCCTTATATAAAAGCCCAAAGTCCGGTTTGAATTTTGGTAATAATATAATAAACCAATAAATTGATTCCTATTTCCTAAATTGTAAATTTTAGTAATAATTAATTTAATAAACTAATATATATATATATATTATTTATATTATTTTATTATATGTAATATTATTAAGTTGGGCTCAGACCATCCCCCAGGCCTAGATTGCAAGCCCAGGCCAGGCCCTACACGGGTCTGAGAGGGCTTATAGGCTTTTCGAGCTTAATGAGTAATGATTATGAGTGCATAACATCAAATAATAAAAATTTCATTCTTTAAAATTTTTAATTTAAGTAACATGTACTAAATGCAAAAAAGAAAAAGAATTATACAAGCTAGAGTTAAAATTGGGCTTTGCTAGTCTTTGGGCCTATAACACAAAAGATAAAGGATAAGTCTCATTTAATTGCTAGGCTTGATTTGGCTTGGCTTACCTATCCTTTTATAGATGGACTTAAAACAACATTCCCATTCTTGAGTAATGTAGGACTTAAAACAACATTAAACAGTTAGTACAGCTATTAAGTGTTTTCCTAAGTACCACGTTGCTTAGGGATTGAGAATGAGGGCATTGCCTTCATCTATATAAGCCTTGCTTATGAGGACAATTCTCATACTTGAATTGAATTGACCATGGCTTTCAAAACCTGACTGGACCGGATGGTTGGACAAGAAAATGGGAATCGGTCAGGTGAACAGTTTCAGTTTTCCCCAAAATCAGATTTTTACCAAAAAAACGTTGATTTGGTTAGCAAATCGCTGACCTAGTTGATTGAACTATTTGAACCGTTCAACGGTTTTGACCATTTTATTTTTTAATTTTTTTAATTTTTTTATCAGAACGGGCCAACCGTTTGGTTTGAATGGTCAGACCGTTCGACCTGGGAACCAGACCCCTAACTGGTACGTTGTCCAGGTCGGTTTTAAAAACCTTGGAATTGACTCAAGTGTGGCTACATGTTTTTGCACATG